TTCTTCTCTCTGGCTCCTCCCTTCACTGCCATGACGTGAGTAGTTTTCCTCCACCAGGCCCTTCCAACCACGCTGTTTTTGCCTTGGAACCAGTTGACCATGGACTGAACTCACTGGAAACTGAACAAAGTCCTCCTCTCCTCCTTTAAGTTGTGGGTTTTCTTTGTCATGTCTCAATAAGGAGAACACTAGCAAACCATGTGTTCTTTAAGGCAAGTTGCGCTTCCCCTATTGTACCACTGAACACAAAGTGTCAGGACTCTCTACTGAGCTGATGATGTCCCCCAAGAAACACCAGGATTGCTGGGAACAGGGTCATGTCCACCTAAGTACCACGAAGCCCTAGGCAAAAGCAGCAGATGTAAGTTCCTGAGGAAAAGGAGTGTGTCTTCGTTGCTCAGTAGCAGTTCTGTAGCACTCCAGCATCGTCTGTATATAGTGGCACTCAAATTTTTATTTGAGGACAAACTGGACCCCTCGAAATTGATATCTGTATCTGTGATTTTGAAATTCTAAGAGATGCCTCTTTAGGGAGCAAAAGCGAAGAACAGAGAGCAAGAAGAGTCCCACATTTGCTAGCACATCCACAGAAGAATTCTGTTTTTCAAAAACTTTTTCAAATGAGCACATTCTCAGAGCTGCAGAGATGGGCTGAATCTTGGAAGCTGTGATATTCCCTTGTTTTTTTCTGCTCTAATATTCTACACCATTGTTAACATCTTTTCTAGGTTGACAATGCTATCTTCAAATATCAAACAACGAGTCCTCAGATAACAAAGACAATTCCCAGTCTAATTCTCAAGGTTGTCGTGCAATGCAAGTGAGAAGTGTGTGAAAAAAAAGCCTTCTGAAACACACACACACACACACACGAAGAAAACCTACACAAACGCAAGTTATGAAGCTTAAAATAGATTAATAGCAAGCAAAGCCCAGAAGAAATTCTCATTGAAATTTTTCCACATTAATTTCTGGGGATAAATGAATGCTGTGAATGAAACTGCCATCCTTTTGATTTAAAGCTGCATTCAGAAAGAATACAACTTCATTCATGATCTGAATAGCTTCCAGAAGATGGCCCCAAGTTATTTGCTTGTTTCTAACTTATCTACAAGTTTTACACACTGTACACATCTAAAAAATTCATTAGAAGTCAAGAAGCTTTATGTACCTAATTTGGATTGTGGACAAGTATGGCTGTATTACATAAAATCTATAAACATTAAATAAATTCTATGATGCCCTTGCATGGAAAGAAATTTAAATTAATTTATACCCCTATATTATATCCATATGTGGGTAAATTCATGTGGAACCACAATAAATATATCAGTATGAATCAGAAATACATAACCACTGTGTAACAAAATAATCCATGGGTGGCTTTTTTGTCTCCATTTTTGACAGCTAAATCCAGACACAAGCTCCTTGTTCCCACCTCTTACAAACCACTATGTTCACATCCATGCTAAACCCCATGGTTAAAAAGAGGTGCATAAATTCAGCATGGTGGTGCATACCTGTAATCCCAGATACTCAGGAGGATGACGCTTACAAATCTGAGACCGTCTTGGAAACTTAGCTTAAAATAAAGTGAAAAGGTGAAGGGACGTAGCTCAATAGTAGAGCACTTGCCTAGCAGGCATGGAGTCCTGGGTTTAATACCCAGTGCTGAAGAAAAAAAAAACAAAAGAATTAAATTAAATGTTAAAAGGGTTGCATAAGGGGCTGGGGATTTAGCTGGGGATTTAGCTCAGCGGCACAGCAACTGCCTGACAAGTGCAAGGTTGTGAGTTTGATTCCCGGTACCAGAAAAAAAACAAAAAAAAGAGTTGCATAGCCTTCTTAGATAATTAAACCACTAAAATAAAAAACTAAGCAAGTCTATCTCTTAGATAACATTTTCCTATAGCTGAACAAGACAGGATAAATAAAGATCCTCTCAGTCCAATATCACAAACGACAACGAAAATTTGTAGGAATTTTTTGCCAGTTTTTTGATATTTCTTAGGATTGTATAGTTATGTATATGTTTTAATACAGTGAAATAAAAAGCAAGTAAAAGTCCTGTAAACTCATGCTCAATTAATCTCTGTTGAGTCAAAATATAGTAAAAGGCAGAGGGAGCAGCTCAGAGGTAGAGCACATACCCAGCATGCACAAAGTCCTGGGGTTTGATCCCTAGCACCACAAAATAAAAAATAAGATTAAAACAGACTCTGCACACACACACACACACACACACATACACACTGCAAACAGGATCCCGTCCTTGACATCTACCTCAGGAGTCATTTTTGTCACTTCTCCTAAAACAGTTTCCTGTGATCCTTTTCAACTGGGGAGAGGGAACTCCCGCAGTATCTATTAAATCTATCAATGAAACACATTAAATCTGATCCTCCCCCAAACCCATACTGGAGATTGAAATATCCAGATTACACTAAGCTACATCCCAACTCTTTCATGCTTTAATTTTGAGATAAGATCTTGCTAAGTTGTCAGAGCTGGCCTAGAACTTCAGATCCTCCTGCCTCAGCCTCCTGAACAGATGACCACAAGTGTCAACCACCACATCTACCTCCTTTGGACTTTGGACACACACAGGGTCACAAACCACACATGGCTTTTCTTTAAAACACACCTTGGTACTCTTCTGTGACAGCACATGCAAGTCCTCCTCATTCTAAACAACTATAAATGACACCATCATTTGGATGTGTCATGATTCATTTAACCAGAGCCCCTCCCTCACTAATACACTGACCATTCCCAAGGTTTTGCTATGATAAACGGTGATGAAATAAACATCCTTGCCCTCTTATCTTAGCAGACCTTTACATGTACGAAAGGCTCCATGGCAGGACTGCTGGGGAATGGGCACATGCATTTTGTTTGGATATTATCAAACTCCACTCAGAAGAGAGTGCTCTACCAAATACAAAATTTTCACTCACTCACTCCTGAATTCACTCACATGTTTATTGAGCCCTGCCATTTTTGTATGGTACTTTCAGGAAACACAGTAAATTAACTGTTTTTTTTAAAGCTGTCTGTACACCTCACATTCTAGCAATGAGTTTGTTTGCCCAAACAGTCGCGAGCACTCATTTTTTCGCCAAGCTGATCAAAAACGCTGTCTCACTGGCTTGCCTTCCATGGATTATCAGGAAGGGCGCATGTTTACACGTGCTTTTGGGGTAGCATTTATTTTTTTCATAAACTATTAACTCATACATGCACAGACACAAATATATTATATTGTTAGCATCCTCATTATTTCTATGGATTTAAAAAAAATTGTTCTCAGTAGCTCTCTCTAGGTCACGTGTTACAAATAAATGGCAGTTTGTGGCTGGCCTTTGACTACGTTTGTGGGGTTTTTTCCTTTCCTCAACCAAATCTAGAGTTTATATTATAAAACTTATTAGTCATTACATTATGATCTTTGAAACTTACATCCTACTTAGAAAAAGATCCTCACTCCAACACCTTGAATAAATCCCCCCATGTTTTCTTAAGTTTTACCTGATATTATTTCATGCTTAAATCTCTTATCTATCTCAAATTTACTTGAGTGTAAAAAATGAAATGGACATAACACATTTTGTTTATTACTCATTTCCCTATACATTTAACTTGGGAAAAACAGATTTTTTCCAACAGTGACTTGAAAACCATTGTTATCATAATCTAATTTTAGGTTCATTTCCAGTTTATTTCTGAACAGTTCCACTGATCTATCTGCCTATTTCTTCTTCTGTAACAAGAAGTTTAAACTCTTGTACTCTGTATGCTGGGCATGGAGGTGCACACCTGTAATCCCAGCACTCAGGAGGCTGAGGCAGGAGGATCACTGTGAGTTCAAGACCAGCCTAGGCTACAAAGTGAGCTCAAGGCCAGCCTGAACTGCACAGTGAAACCCTGTGTCAAAAAGATAAATAAATAAATAAACAAACAAACTCTTGTACTCTGTAGCAGGAAATTTCCTTGTTCAAGTTAGTACAGCTTCATAAGGTATCTAACACATGGCAAGTCTAGCTGACCCTCTAACACATCTCTTAAAATTTCCCAGGTTATTCTGAGAAATTTATTTTTTGAGATGGATTCTATATCATTTTGCCAAGTGTCTCCCATAACAGTAGTAGTAAGAGTCCTGTTGCTCTCCAAATTGGAACTGCCCTGATTTTACAGATTAGTTTATAGAGAACAGATGCCTTTCAATATTCTTAAACCTCTTTCTTTTTCCATCTCTTCACTCCTCTATTAAGTTTTTAAACTCTTCATCATATATGCCTTCCACATTTCTTATGGCAAGCATATCCACAGGTATTTTATCATTTTGAGTGTCATAAAAAAAACCTATTTAAAAGACATCCTGTTGCATGAGCACAGTACAAAATCCAAAACTCTGTTCTACCCCATCCTTGGGCTCTCAGATTTCTTCTCTCGAGTCAGCATCTCTTACCAGGGAAACTGATTTCAAATCAGCATCAATGTCAATAATTTTTCATTTAAGAAATTAGTGTATCATCTCTCTAAAACATAAAATTAAAACACAGGCAGCTAAGTCTAAAGGTCAAGGCTCTCCTCCCGGCATGTCAGCCATGAGCCCTCCTCCTCCTTGGCTCTCCTACGGGCAACTTGGCAGTAAGTCCTAGAGAGCTTACCTGAAGTACATGCCTGAAATTCATCCACTACTCTCCCAGTGAGAGAATCTGAGTGCCAGAAACCACATTTATTTCATGTCCCACTTTTTACTCCACATATTACACAGTGTTTGGTACAGACTGGTACTCTAGACTGAATGTGTCCTCCCAAAATTCACAGGTTGAATTCTTCATATTCAGGTGGCAACGGGAGTGGAATCGTTGGGATGTGACCAGGTCACAGGTGTGCAGCCCTCATGAATGGGTTTAGTGCCCTTATAAAAGAGGCTTGAGAGAGACTCTGTGTCCCTTCCACTATGTGAAGGCACAGCAGGAAGGGTGTATAGTTACCTATAAACCAGGGAGTCCTCAATCAGCTATCAAATCTGCCAGCACCTTGATTCTGGACTTCTCAGCATCTAAAACTGTGAAAAATAAATTTCTGTTGTATATAAATCACTCAGTTTATGGTGTTTTGTTATAGCAACCCAAATGGCCTAAGACAACTGTTAGTAGTGCACTGCTGCACAGTGCCCAGGAAGTACTCAGTACTGTATTAGATGGGAGAACTAGTCTCAGGGCTAATCAGTGTGGTCCATCTGATACCAGGTCATGGCAAGGTAAGGACAGACAGAAAGAGTAAGTACATAGAAACTCTTTTTTTTTTTTTTTTTTAGAAACTCTTCTAACAGGTTGACGTTACAGCACATCAAGCCCAGATCATTCTGCTGGTCATCCGTGTTTCTTACACTATGCACATATCAGTCTACACAAAATGAGACAGAAAACTCAATGCCCCTTGCTCTAGTAGGCATCCACTAGACACAGCTGCTTCCTCTCCTGGCTCTGGCCAATCTGTCCACAGAGTGTCCTTCCACACAGCAACTCAGAACCACACTCTTGTGGCACAAAGCCTTTGGTACTTTGTCACGGCAGTTGTGACAACCTGTATATCTTTCAGTGCCAGCGTCTTTCTGCCTTTGTGAGGGGATTTGGGTAAGTTTTCTTCTTCTAATTTTTCCCTAGTTTGAGAACAAGATATTTGTTTATCACGAAAAACAACTCCTTCAAAACCAACAAAGTCACAAGGTGCCTGCCACACAGAGCGCCATCAGCAAAAAGGACTCTGTCCTCCTCTACTGAATGAACGTGCACGCTGCCTGTTCCTGCCCCACGGACAGTTTGAAGCAAGACTTTGAGGGGATTAACCAGACTATCTCTGTCCTCTGCCAGGATGAAAATGCCCCTGCCTTGGGACACACAAAGTGCAGCAGAGGCGGACACTCCAGCACCGTGCATTAAACAAGCCATTCAGTCCAACCAAGGCCAAATACCTCTAGTCCTAAATTACAGAAACATAGTAAAAGCCTCCAGAAATGTAAACACCCATAAATTCTGGTCCTGATTACCCAGTGGCTATAACTATTGACAGCTTACGAGGTTAACATCAATTTCAGGGGGCCCCGAGCCACCATGGAGAGCAGGTTCCAGTCACCTACAAATCATTCAAATCCCAGGACAATCATCACACGGGCTGTTAAACAGCCAGCACACCGTTAGTTCTCTTTCTTGCTTTGTCTCCTCGGTCATTGCATTTGCCATTCCCTGCAAATGCTTCCCTCACCATTAATGCATTTAGCTTCACAATCTCAACTGCACAACCAAACGTGCACAACATATTAGGGGTGAGGGGTTATGGGACAAAAGGAGGAAAAACAACCACACAGTGGATGCAAAGGTGAAGTTTAGATTTCAGTCACACGAGAGAAATCCAGGAGCTCAAAGTTAATGCTCCCTCGACAATCTTAAATCTCTGCTCTGGGCATATGGATTACACTGTGAGTTTTATGAGGATCACAACTGTGGCAAACACGCACTCGAAGTATGTACCACATCTGACACACTCTCCCTTTAAACTTAAAAAAAAAAAACTGCCACTGAAGCCCAGAAATAAAACACAGCTATAATTCTGTACAGAACTGAAATTTGACCTCACATAGTCACTTGGCATTCCATACAGATTTCCTGGCCTATGAGGCTCTGCACTTGACCCGAATTACTGTACAGAAGCCACAATCTCTAAACACATCTCTATTCAGCTACGAGAGGACAAACAAGTATGGCCACAGAACAAAGAAAAGCCCCAATCCATCCCTGCACAGGGCATGGTGGGGGAAGGGCATGCTGAAGAAGCACCCCAGGGTCTTCCAACCTGGCACAGCGGGAAGGATGCCATGAGACCCTGCTTGGCGCTGCCAGTGTGCCCCCATCCGCATGATACTGAGGAAGATACTTTTATCCTAATGGGTTCAGTTTCCTCAACTGTAAAATAAAGAGATCCCATCAGATGGCGTGGGAGGTTATATACAAAATCAGAGTTCTTCTTAGACATCGATACTGAAAAATTCCTCCACTGATATTTCCTCTTCCATTTCCCTGGAGAAGTCGGCTGCATGTTTTGAATGTGAGCACAAGAATCGTGAGGTACTATTTACTTAATGTTGGCAAAACATTCAGTACCACGAGGAAAAAGTGGTAATATCCCTCATCCATTTGAGAAATACAAAATGACTACAAATACTAAACAACTGACTAGAAATTTTAGAGAATAATTACTATATAAAATTAATAATTTTAAGAGGTACCATTCCTACTTTCACGTATTTATTATCTGTAAGGCAACTGGGAAGATAACAAATTGGTAAAAATTGCAGTGACAGAGATCAAAACAAACTGCTAATCATAGTACACCCTTGAAGTCCTACTCAACATAAGCACCCCCGTTCAGCACTCAAAACACTGACCTCACAAAGGGAGGCAAAGTGACCCATCCGCCTAGGTTAGGTACATGGCCCCTGAGCATATTACCAGCATTTGCAATGCCCTCCACTGTGGGCTCCACAATACCACCCTCCTGTGATTGCACCTCCACGCCACATCTTCAGGCATTCCCTTAGTCACCATCTCTGAATGCTCTTGTCACCTGTTTTGACTTTTTATGAAGTCCAAGTCCAAACACTTTATCCCATGTCCAATATACTGCTCAACTAATGAAACACTGAATTGGATAATTGTTACAGTATATTGACATTAGACACCTAGGATGTTGCTGTTAACAAGGACAATGTACACTGGTACAGGGGCTTAAATCAATGTGTATGCACAAACTAAAAAGTTCTGCACACACACACACACACGCATGCACACACATACGCTTCCTCTTTTCCTGTCACAGGAGGCTTTGTCCCTAACCCTGATCGGCCGTCTGGGAAACAAATGCCTTGGTGATGGCATCATAAATTGTCTCTATTCTCCTAGAAAGCAATCTGATGATATGTTTGAGAAGCCATAAAAATGTCCCAATTCTTTGACCCACGCATGCCACATCTGGGACTCTATCATAGGAAACTAATTTAAAATAAGGAAACAGCTGCACATACAACAATGTATCTCTCAGCATTATTAATAACTGTGAAAAGATGAAAGAGTTGTGCATGTCAACAACAGGGTAGTAACTAAGAGTGTGGCATCTCAATAGAATACTATGCAATCATTAAGGTGGCACCTGTGGAGATTATGCAGCAATGAAGGAAAATGGAGATACAAAGCAGTGAAAATCCTCAAAGTAATTCTTTTGGGGTAGTGAATATGGCTATTTCCTATGATCCCAAGCTTTTTGTAATAACATTATGGTGCTCTTATAATAAAAACAGTCTCTTGTAATTAAATGAAATGTATGTCCTGGTCGCAAAGAGAAAAAGCCAGTGGCCATGGCGCAGCCTGCCCCTTGCCTAAGGAGCATGGGCCGTCGCCACCCGGTGGATGCGGAGGGTGTCAGGGCTCTGCCACACAGGGCAGCTTCCTGCAGAGCACCAGCAGAGAGGTGCTGTGAACTTGTCAAATAAATGATTCCCAAAAAATGAGGAGTGTTCATCTGCTCGCCCCAGTGGATTCCCTTCCTGATGAGTGTCCCGAGGCAGAGATTTCCCCAGGTGCACCTCACACACTGGCAGTTTAGCTATCCATTTAAAAAACTTATATGGGGTCATGCAGGGCGGGTACCATCCTTTGGTTAAAGTAAAAAGCCCAGATTTTCATGTGTGGCACAGTGAGGAATATATGTGGCAACGAACACAGTAACTGCAAAGAGGGAGAGCGGATGGCGCAGCCATACTTCCCTCCAGTGAGGGGGAGGACTCGGGCACAGGCTGATGTCACACCCTCGGGTCCCAGAGGTAGGAGGCAGGACTGGCCTCTCCAGCCTGGCACAGACAGAAAGACCCGGCACTCAGGGCACATCATTAATCCTAACGTAACCATCAGATGCAATGGACCTCAACTCGGAGCCACTGCACCCCACATGCAGACTCAGCCCCATGTACAACCTGGGGGCCAGCCCTGCCCAGGGAGACCCTAGGAGCTCCCGTCCTTCTTCACCGTGAGCGGGGGAGCTAATCATGCATCCTCACCCTCATCCTTGTGCCTGAGAACCTCTATTCTCCAGCACGTGTGGCCAAGGCCTTCTCTCTCCTCCATTCACTTCCTCTCTGAGTCCAAGCCCAGGCAGCAGGCAAAGGTAAAGAATGTGCAGACACAGGTTTTGACATCAGACAGAACTGACTTCAAACTCAAGCCACGTCACTCTCCTCTCCTGCACAACCTTGAGAAAATCACCTAACCTCCCGAACCTGTTTCTTCCACTGTAAAATCAGTATCTGTGCCATAGGATCACTGTAAGGTTTAAAGAAAATAAATGGAAACTGACACTTACAAATGCTTAGCTATACATAGCCTGTCTTCCTCAGCAGATGGCGCCCTGCATGTCTTCATCCGCCACCAGCCCTGCCCACTGAACGTGAATGGCACAACCCCACTCTTTAAGACTAAGTCCTTCTGTGCTGACCAAAGTCTGAGCCCAGCGTGCCTTCGGGACATTTCCACCATCCCCACCCAGGCATTCCCATTGCTGAACCACGCTGTGCTCCACTTCCCACCACACGGCAGGCCTTTCAAAGCTCGGGCACCAAGGCCAGGCTGCCCGGCCGCAGAGCCCTGCGCTTCCTTTCACTCATTAGTTCAGGTGACTCGAACTGCGTCACCCCTCTGTGCCTCATCCCACATCTATAAAAGAGAGATAATAATAACAGCGTTGACCTAAGACTGGGTGAGGATTTAGTGCTGGTGAAGCCCTGAGAGCTTGCTGGCACAGAGGACCCAAGTACTGTACCTTTTTATTTTCATGTCAACTTCCTAAGTGATTATTTAGACCAGAGAGACCTGGATAGCCACTGTTGTGCCTGGGATGAGAAAACCAGACAGCTTTGCTACCCTCCAGCACCAGTGTTCCGTGGGCACTCCAGGCACTGTCTCCTGATCAGGCCAGTGTCGGAAGGAGAAATGCAGTCTCAGGCCCAACCCAGCCCTC